CTTTACCATTGAGCCACCAGGGAAGCCCAAGAATACTGCAGTGGGTAGTCTAGCCCTTCTCCAGGGGATCTTCCCGACCCAGAAATCAAACCGGGGTCTCCTGCATTGCAGGCAAATTCTTTACCAGCTGAGCTATCAGGGAAGCCCCAACCTCCCAATCATGGGGGATAAAGGAATTGTTTACTCTTGGTGAGAGCGGATTATAGTGGCCCTTGCTAAGGGATGGCGGAGGAGATCGGGCTTGGCTATGGGGAGTGGTGCTCAGGCTAGCTTCTCTCAATGCTGTGTTTCTATTCAATGATGTTTGGCCCTGCCTATGACCCCAGAACCATCTTTTTCTCTCTGGTTCCTGTCCCTTCCTTGTGTCTCACTATTAGTGGTCTTTGGAACGTGTATGTTTGCCTGAAGTCCTGGACACACACTCTTGCATCATCATAACACATGCTTAGAGACCTGGAGCAGAGGCAGAGTCAAGAGTGTGGACCCTGGAATTCCTTTCCTTAGTAACCACCATGAATGACACATAGACTCCCGAGAGCCCAGCCCAGCAGCCCTGTGTCAGAACGCTGGGTGAAGACTTTGAGGTCCTTGTTTGACAACGATCTCATTTTACACATACAGAAACTGAGGCTCAGAGGTGGAGAGTAAACATCTTCCCCAAATTCTGCAGCTGGTTAGCAAGACCAGGGTTTTCACACAGTGCCCTGACTCTGCTTCTCTTTCTAGCATGTTTTTCAGTTGAATACAAATATTTCAGTGGAACTTACTCAATACAAGGTGCATTGTCAGAGTTCCAAGTTGATTTATATTAAATATTTTCTCTTGGAAACTATTTGGGCATTGAGGATTAGTTTCATCTTGAAGGTTTTATTTAGTATAACATAATAATACAACAGGAGGAAGGCATGGCAACCCACTCCAGTATTCTTGCCTGGAGAATCCCTTGAACAGAGGAGCCTGGTGAGCTATGGTCCATAGGGTCACAAAGAGTCGGACACGATTGAAGTGACTGAGCATCCATGCGCTCAAAAATACAACATGGTATAATAATATTTTGTTCTTAATATAATTGTTAAATAAGACACACATATAATTGTGCATTAGTAACAAAAGAAATAAACATATATAATCTAAATCCTTCAGAGCTAGGCTTTCCTAGTTAATATTTCCAACTGAGTGCAATATTAAACATAAGCTTATTAAGGATTTTTCTTTAAGGATTCAGAAGGCATCAACAATAAATTGCTACTGGGTGGAAATTCCATCGGTAACCCAAACTCGTTCCACTCTTTCATTCCATTTAGATCAGTGATCCTAACAGCTCCACGGCATCCGGCATCAAGACAAGCAGAAATGACCAGAGGAGAGGAGGGCCAAGTCATCGGAAGTCTCAAGGCCCTGAGAACAGCTGGACAGCATCACAAACCCCCTGAGTGCCTGCCCCCTCTCCCCCGCCTCCACGCCCTGCAGTCCCTCAGACCACTCCCTAGCACATTTCTGACCTGGTCACGTTTAACTCTTGAATTGATCTTGCCATTGCCAGCACGGAAGGTTCCATCCAGATAAACCCACAGCAGTTCATGGAAAAGCTGTGGACAAACAAGGCTGAATAAAGACATTTCCTCCTGTGCGTCTGGCAGGTTTTCTCAAGCCTTTTGCCAGGATTCATTTCCACCTTTTCTGGATGACTAGGGCTGGAGGATAATGTGGGATCAGGGACACAGGGAGCTTACCCAGTAAGAGATTAATTTTCGTTGCGCAAAGCTGTTTGAATGAAACTTCAGGTACATTTATGATACGTGTGGGCTCTGATCCAGTGTGTAAGGCAATAGGATGAAGTTTTAACCTAACATTAATGTTTAAATTCTCTTTTGGGACCTCTGTTATGTGTAAGTCCAGCACAAATATGATAAAAGAGGGAAAAAGAATTATTCAGAGTTAAATATAAGATGACAATTGAGAAAAAGAAAACACATTTCTCACACACCCTCTGGTACCCTTTTCCTCCCATTAGCATTTTCTGTGCTGCAACTCCACAAAGACAAATAGATGGCTGGAGCTAAAACGTTATTTGGTGGTGGTGGGAATACAGCGAGCCAGGAGGGGGTGAGGGATGGAGAGCTAAGTTTTCTCCTGATGATAAAATCTTGCTGTTGAAATCTTAAAAGTACCAAAAAATGTAACAGGAGGTAAAAAATAAACTACCCATAATGTTATCATTTTGGTATTTCTTCTTCTAGGAGAGGCATATTCATACTGACTATGCCATTTTACATAGTCTTTTTTTTTTTTTCTACACAAAGCATTTAAAATGTCCTATCTGAAAGCTGATATTTAAGTCTATTGTGTGGATACCTCATGTGTTTCTTCATTGTTCTTATCATCATCCTTCCTTTTAAAAAAAGTTAAACTATTATGAAGAGCTCTGAAATGAACATTGTTGTGCATCTGGTATTTTCTGTTAAGAAAGATTCCAAGGAGTGAGACTTCTGAACCAAAACCTATAGGCATTTCATAGGCTCTCTTTCTATTGCAAAATTTCTTTCCCAGCAGGGGATTCTATCTCGGAGTTCCTCTTATATAGTGCATGAAAGTATCTTGGAGGCCTTGAGCATTTTCTCTTTTTGTTTTAAAGAGCTGATATGATACTATAATAATTAAAAGGACATGGTTGCTGCATTTCTTTATGTACATATTTGATTATTAGTAAGGTTGAACATTTTAAATTCAATGTATATTAACCATAAGGGCAAGGATTGTGTCTATTTTGCTTATTTCTGAATCCCTAGTTCTGAGGAAAGTGTCTGACATATAGAAGGCACCCAATAAATACTTTACAAAATTAATTTTTAAATTATAAACTGCCCACTTATCTATTCAGAATAATGTTTTTAATGATCAGATACTTGAAATGATAAAATCCAGTGTTGGAAAGTCTGCAGTTTTATAACAGTCATAAAAAGTAGCAAGTTAACATTCCCACATGTGTGAATTAATTTATGTTTCTAATTTTGGAATATTTGTAGTCTTGAGGACAGAATCATGGAAAAGAAGTCACTAAAATGAGCTTGTGTTCTGGCTTAACTGTGTGATGGGCAAATAAGGACCTACCGTACAGCGCAGCGACCCTCTGCTCCATGTTATGTGGCAGCCTGGGTGGGAGAGGAGTTCGGGGGAGAAGGGATATGCATGGCTGAGTCCCTTTGCTGTTCATCTGAAACTGTCACAACATTGTTTGTTCATTGGCTACACCCCAATACAAAATACAAACTTAAAAAAAAGTTAACTCTGTGACTTTAAGGTTTTAATGTCTCCTCCAAAAATCAAAGCAAAATTTTTAAAAGGCAACAAGTCTGTCTTTTTAATTTTATGGGACCATTGAGACAATATAATGGGATAATTATAGGTAATAGTTCAAGGTAAAACTTTCGAAATGCAAAATGTCGTATTCAAACACAAGACCAACGTACTAGCATTTCATTCTCAGAGTTTCTGTTCCAGGTCTTACTTTCTCATTTATAAAAAGGGGGGAGGGTTGGGATTAGTATACTACATAGGGTACAATAATAATGGTTGAATAAGCTATTTCCAAAGTTCTTATTTTGACTCTATGATTCTGAAATGCCTCATAGGTTGAATAAAAGTAAGAAACGTGGTTATAAAAAATAAACCAGTGCTCAAATATTTGAAGTCAAATCTGACTACAAAGAATTAATTTAGAATAAAGCTTTTCTTCAGATCATCCCCCCCAAAAGAAAGTTTTAATAGGATATACAGAGCTGTGGATAGTATATACAAAGAAAATACCCCAAAAGAGAGAGGATAATTAAGATAATGAAATCCTTAAGTAAGTGTTAGTCGCTCAGTTGTGTCAGACTCTGTGACTCCATGGACTGTAGCCCACAGGGCTCCTCTGTCCATCGGATTCTCCAGGAAAGAATACTGGAGTGGGTTGCCATTCTGTTCTCAGGGGATCTTCCTGACCCAGGGATCAAACCCGGGTCTCCTGCATTGCAGGCAGATTCTACAGTCTGAACCACCGGGGAAGCCTAATGAAGTTGTTATTTGTCCAATATCTGTTAGAGTAGCTAGCAAATTAGAAACAACCCAAATTCTCACCAACAGGAGAATAGCTGAGCACACTAAGTTATCTTAACCTGACTGACTGCTCCTTAGTCAATGATGACAGATATATAATCCGTATCATTATGCAAAAATGTGTATAGAAAATAGAAAGAAGTGAAAAAATAGATCACAAAACAATCTACACACTCAGGTTCACATTACATGAAAACATGTTGAAAATATATTTTTAAAGAAGAAAGAACTTGCAATGAGGAAAGCAAACAGTGTGTGCCCATCAAGTTCTCTTTTTTTCCCCCAAATAAATTGACCCAGCTCAGTCATTTTTTTAAAGTCAAAAGCTTTCCCATAAGTTTGAGGATAGCTCAACAGTCTTATCCTAAATCATGATGGCTATAAAATATCTGTAGTTGTATAACAAGGCAAAAGAGTTTCTCCACAAAAGATGCATCTTCTGTCCAGGCTTGTCTGTTGCTTGACATTTCTTTTGACTAAATAATGATTAATGGGCTATATAAACAGCATGCCAGGTACTTGTATTTGGTTTTGGATAGGGAAATTATTTATAGTTGCCTGAAGTCAGCATGGCTGTCTGGTATTTCTATGAGATTGTCTTCATCTTAGAAAGAGAAAAAAAGTCTGCTTTGTAAGAAAAAGAAAAAAGAATTAAAAAAAAAATCTGTGCAGGCAACTTTGCAGTCAATTTCTGGAAGGTGAATGAAGGGCTGAGGTCTTTGCAGGTAGCCTGGAAGATGAGGGAAAGAGAGACTGAAAATGTAAGATGAATATCTGAACTTTGTGGGAGGAACCTTCACAGAAACCACAAAAAGTTGGCTTTTGACTAAGTTCCCGAAAGAAAAAGTCAGTTTCCTGTTTGCTTGGGGTTATATTTTAATGTCCTTTTTGTTCTTATTTAGATAATTTTCAAGAACACATGGAAAAAGTCTTGGTCATACCCTCTTCTTCCCCAAAGAACTATGCAAATGAAACGGTACAGAAATCTCTTCAATCAATCAAGGACAACATTCCATTTGATGTCAAGACTGTCTCTGGAGATAATTTACAACCATGTACTGGTAAATAATGCTGAGCAGCATTTCACAAACTTTAGGACAGGAAGTAAAAATTCTTGAGACAATGAACAGGAGGGGGAAAAAATACAAAAATAAGCTAAACTCCATTATCTAAGATTAAATCTGACCAGGTTAGTGATAGAGATGGTAGTGATAGAAACCCCTTCATCATCACAAACTTGTCCTGGGGAAGGGGCTTGTATAACTCAGTGAGCCACACCATGCAGGGCCACCCAGGACGGACGGGTCATAGTGAAGAGTTCTGACAAAATGTGGTCCCCTGGAGGAGAAGATGGTAAACCACTCCAGTATTCTTGCCACGAGAACCTCATGAACAGTACAAAAAGACAAAAAGATATGACACCAGAAGATGAGCCCTTCAAGTTGGAAGGTGTCCAATATGCTACTGGGGAAGAGCAGAGGGCAATTACTAATAGCTCCAGAAAGGATGAAGCAGCTGGGCCAGAGCGGAAATGACGCTCAGTTGTGGATGTGTCTGGTGGTGAAAGTAAAGTCCAATGCTGTAAAGAATGATATTGCGGAGGAACCTGGAAGGTTAGGTCCATGAATCAAGGTCTGACTCATTGGAAAAGACCCTGATGCTGGGAAAGACTGAAGGCAACAGGAGAAAGGGGTGGTAGAGTATGAGATGGTTAGATTAGCATCACTGACTCCGTGGACATGAATTTGAGCAAACGCTGAGAGACAGTGAAGGGCAGAGGAGCCTGACATGCTGCAGTCCAAGGGTTCGCAAAGAGTCAGACTCGACGTAGCAGCTGAATGACAATAAAGTGATAGAAACAAGAGCCTAAAATACTTTGAACACACTGGGTCAATAATTATACTTAATGCTTTACATGTATTATTTTATTTAATCCTAGGAACATTATAAGCTTGGAAGAATAAGGTAAATTGTTTAAAGTCCTCAGCTAGCAGGCACTAGAGCCAAGATATAAACACAAGTCTGTCTGATTTCCAGAAGCTTAGCTCTTAACCACTAGGATATGCTGCCTAATCTTGATGCTGTAATGATAGGTTTTGGTCAAACTGAATGGCTTTTTTTCCGTATAACTCATCTGCTCTTGCATTATTTTCTGTAGATTAGTAAATGGAAAAAGGCTGAGAAATAGGGAAATAGCTGTATGGTTTTACATGCAATAAATGTTTTATTATATGATCCTTTAGTAGAAATTGGGAAATAATACATGTCAGTTCTTAGTCCACAGGTAAACCTACTCTCTGATTTATGCATCATTTTTATTTCCTCAACCTTCTACAATTAGTAAAACCATTGTAAACTGATCAAGAGTAAAAGAGAAAGAATGCAAATTATGAATATCAGGAACTAAAGGGGGAATAGCAGTAGACAGCTTGTAGACGTGAATAGAATAAAAGAGATGCTTTAGACACAATTGACAATAAATTAGATAATTTAGAACAAAAACTTTTTTCTTGAGATACAACTTTCCCAAACTGACTCAAGAGAAAATAGAAAATCTGAATAGCTCTATTTCCATTAGAAAAGCTGAATTTTTCTCTAAAATCTTTACACAAAGAAAACTCCACGGTCAGATTATTTTGCTACTGAACTCGGTCAATTTTTAAGAAATAAATAATAAATAAATAAATAATTGATCTTAGATAAACTCTTTCCCAAAACTTGTTTTATGAAGCTAGCCTACCTTGAAACCTAAGCCAGATAAAGACACTAGAAATAAAATTATTGACCAATATCCCTCATGAACATTCTAACAGAATGTTTATAAAGTTAATTCAGTAATATATTAAAAAAACAATACATTATGACTATATATAATTCCGGGTTCTCCAGAGAAACAGAACCAATGAAATATTTATAGATATATTGAATATAAAAGAGAAGATTTATCATAGGTAATGACTCACATGTTTATGGAGCATTTGCAAAACTTGCTTTGCCACCCCATTCTTATCTTTAGAGCATGTCTTCTTGATAGTGGATCTCTTATTTTCTAGCATTGTTTGCAGTTTGAATCAGCTGATAATTTACCAAATCACCAAGTTCTGATTCCTTTTAATTTTCTTTTTAATAGTTTTTACTTCAGTTTATCTCTTTCCTCTCACAGTTCTCTACTAGCATCAAGAAGAAACCAAGTTTCACATTTACACTCTGCTTGGACAGCTTCTCTGGTAAAATAATACAATTTTATCATTTACAATTTCCATTTTTCAGGTGAACGTCGACAGAACTTCTGCCTTGTATAATAAGGACCTCCTTTTCTCTAGTTCCCAATAATGTATTCTTTCAGAGCATTCATCAGTAGTGCCTTTAAAGCCCACTGTTTCTGCTAATCATTTGTTTACAACAATTTGGGCATTCTCAAGGCAATTCCTGTTTTCTCTACCATCGTCTTCACTTCCTCTGAGCCCTCTGAGTGGCAGTCTTTAACACTCATATTTTTACTAACCATCTGTTCAGAGTAACCTGTGTTTTCTAATCCTGCCCTCAAAAGTTCTTCCAGCCTCTGCCCATTGCCCAATTCCAAAGCCAGTTTATAATTTAGGGTATTTGTGATAACAGTACCCTCACTTACCAGTACCAAAGTCTGTACTAGTTTTCTATGATGCTTCCCAGGGGGCACATTGGTAAAGAATCCACCCGCCAGTGCTGGAGTCGCAAGAGACACAGGTTTGATCCCCGGGTCCGGAAGATCCCCTGGAGAAGGAAATGGCAACCCGCTCCAGTGTTCTTGCCTGGAAAATCCCAGGGGCAGAGGAGCCTGGTGGGCTACAGTCCATGGGGTCGCAAAGAGTGGGACACGACTGAGCACCTGAGTACACACACATATAAGAGATCACTTGGAATTTAGTGGCTTAAAGCACCCAAATTTAAAATTAAGGTGTTGAAAATCAAAGCTATATTCCTTTCTGGAGGCACTAAGGGACTAGAAGAAATGAAAGCATACATCTACAAGAAAAACAAATATTTATACAGGCAGCTTTATTCAAGAGTCCCAAACTGGAAACAATCTAAATGCCCGCCAACAGAAGAAGAGATGAAGTTGATACATTCACAGGAAGAAATACTACAGCATAATACAAAGGCAGCAAACTACTATACAGGCTATGAAATGGGTGAATCTCAAAAGAATTATGCTCACTAACAGAAGCCTTATACGTTTAGTATGTATAGACGATTCCATTTATACAAAGTTCTAAAACAGGGGAAGCTATCCCATGGTGAAAAAAAATCCAAATAGTGATTAAACCACAGTGGGGAAGTAGCAGCAGGGAATTGACTAGAACAGGACCAGAGAGAATTTTCTGCAGTGATGATAATGTTCTATATTTTGATAACTATTCAGATACACAGATAGGCACTTGTCAAAACTTATCAAATGAAGTACTGAAGATTTATATATTTCGATGTACATACATTTTTCAAAAATTCCATAACAAAATGGAGAACTCCAGCTATTATAGGCACAGTGAAGTATTTATAAGAGAGTATACTATTACTCGTAACTTACTCTGATTTTCATTTTAAAAAATAGCTTGATGGATGGATAGAGGGATGACTAGATGAATAGTTATGTGATAACTATTTTTTGCAAATATAGCAAAATACTAATCATAGAGTCTAGAGAGGGATATAGAGTGATTTACCATAGAACTGTTTAACTTATTCTGTATGTTGAAATTTTTTGTAATAAATTATTGGAGGGGAAAAGGCTACTATTCTGGTTGGACCACACCAATAGTGAGAATCCAGTAAAAGCTTACGAAGAACACACATTATTGTCCCACTGTGCAGACCACCATATCTTCCCAACTCCGATACAGCACACATTTATTAAAAGCAAAACAAAGATTTCTACAAGGTAGTCTAAAGTTAGGAAAAAGACAATCTCTAAATTTTTCAGAAAATGACATTTGTTCTTGGTAGGACAGATACGGAACAATTAGTGTCATTAATGTGAAATTATTAGTGGTAGCAATATCTTTAGAAATTTTCTGTAGTTGGAGTTCAGTAACTGGATGGCTGGTTCCAAATACGGCAATTTGTTACCTAAAATGTTAAATCATAAAACATCAAGTCATGAATAAAGACAAGACTTTCAAAAATAGTGCTAACATTTGAGAATTTTAACACTAATTGCTTTAATACTATATAATTGTATGTATTTTTATCCTTTAAGTTTAATTTTCTCTTGATTAGAAATAAGGAAAAACTGTCATCTGTGGTAAGATAAGATTTTTAAACAACTGTAGCAAATTCATAGTAATGCTAATATTTTTAAGTCCCTCTAGCACTAAATAGCTCCAGGCTGATTAAAAGCCATATTTAATTCTCATTCTCACAAATGAAATAATTTTCTACTCACAAAATGAATATGCTTTAAACTAAAAGGTGATTACATTTCCAAAGCACTTCACCAAATGGGAGACCTAAATGGTTATTAATTAGAGTAAGTTATTGTTTCACACTTTCATTATAGTGGTTCTTTTAGATCTTTAAATTTATTGCTTTCCAATTACACAATTTATAAGAGGGAGTGAGGATCAGTTCCTTTCCTGATAAAACCCTCAATGTGGTTTGAAAGGCAGAGGACAGACATGATGAACTTAGAGGACATTAGTCTTTTAGCAAATAGAATAAGAGATGAATACTGTGTGAATCTAATTGTATTTGAAAGGACCACCCACTGCAGAATGTTAAGTGGTTTTCTTTAACCTTTGCTTCCCTCTTTCTCTTCTCCATGATGAGCAAGATTATCAAAGAGATATCATGGCATCATAATGTCTTCTGGTAGGTCTGATTCTTGTAAGAAAAAATGCCAGTCATATCAACACTGGTCTTGAATTTCATCCATGTATTTTTGCCCTGATTCTAACTAGGACACATGCTAGGCTGCTCATGGAAGATGAGCAGGGTGGAAGGATAAAGGATCCTGAAAAATAAATGGAAGCGTTTTAAAACCAGTAATCCAAGGGATAGAGCAGGAGGTGGAGAAGATGGTAAGAGATGTAGCTTTACTTGCCACCTCTGAGTGTCTTCTGTGTGTTCATCACCTTTTAAAGGGGCCCCTCCCTCTCCTGAAGCCCAAAGGAACCCACTCCCTAGTCACTCTCCATTGTACTAGTGATTCATAAGATGTAAAGTGCTTAGAACATTAAAACTGTGTTTGTATATCATCAAATCATCTACCAACAGTTCCTGGGCACCTTCTCTGTGTAGGGCATTGTGGGAGATTGGCAGACATGAAGAGGAATTAGACAGAGCCTCTTCCCTAGGCAGTTTATAATATGAGAGCATGAACAGGGCAAGTATTCAATCTACATCCTAGCAAATCTCAGCACCTGAGTGTCTGGCTGCCTGAAACACTGAGGGACAGGCAAATGATTCACCGAGGTAGTGTTAGGACAGAATGCAACCGAACAGATATGGCCTAGTCTATTTGACTCTTTTCATAGAAAACTTTGCTCTATTAATGTAAAGCAAAGTATGAAATAGAAATTGGTCCAAAGAGGAGTCACTGAATAATAAAATACTAGAGTTAGGGGACGGGGGAAACACTGAACAATCAGTCAAGTAATTTTTTAAAGTGTGTAGTGCTCCCTAGGATTCCTCAGAGATGGAGAGAAGGAGGAAGGGAGGGTGGGAGGTGGAGAGGAGAGGGGATTACCACTGAGCTAAGTGAACTTGCTCATTTGATTCAAAGGCAGAATGGGCAAGCAACTAATCCAAGACTATGCATGTGCCTTTGTGCTAAATCACTCAGTCGTGTCCGATTCTTTGCGACCCCATGGACTGTAGCCTGCCAGGCTCCTCTGTCCATGGAATTTTCCAGGCAAGAATACTGGATCCAGGCAAGAATACTGGAGTGGGTTGCCATGCCTTCCTCCAGGGGATTTTCCCGACCCAGGGATCAAACCTGCGTCTCCTGAGGCTCCTGCATTTTAGGCAGATTCTTTACCGGTGAGTCACCAGGGAAGCCCCCAAGACTATACAGATAGCATATAAATCCGATTTTCAGATCAGGTCACTTTCAAAGGTACTATCACCCTGATTCTTTAACACCTGTCACAATCACTATGGGTTACCGTCCCAGTAGCCACCCCCTGCATGGCTCTCCCTATCCCAACCTTTTTCTTCCTTGCCATTAGAACCCTGTATTAGTCAGGTGGTGTTGTTGTTAAGTCTCTGCAGTCGTGTCTGACTCTTTGTGACCCCATGGACTGTAGCTTGCCAGACTCCTCTGTCCCTGGGATTCTCTAGGCAAGAATGCTGAAATGGGTTGCCATTTTCTCCTCCAGGGGATTTTCTCAACCTAGGGCTTAAACCCACTTCTCTTGTGTCTCCTGCTTTGGCCGGCAGGCTCTTTACCATTAGTGCCACCTGGGAAGCCCTCTGAAACCAGGGATGACTGAGCCTCTCTCCAACCTGGAAGATGAATCTTAGTCTATGGTGATTATTGTATAGAACATGGTGGATGTCTGCACTAGGCATGGGAGCCCATCATCGTTTGGATAGCCTTTCTATATTTGAGGAGGATTGGGATATCCTGCATGTTGGTATTATATATTCTGCCTTGCTCATGTATCAGTCAGGGTTTAAATTCAGACTCCCTTAAAGCTAGGACACAGCAGAGACTCCACCCATCAGATGCGCTTGTATAAAACTTCAGTTCAAAAGTGAGCAATATGAGGAAACAGGCTATGTGTGATGTTTCCGTCTTTTGCTGACTCCAAGGAGGAATTGAGATGTCTGTCTTTTAGTGTCAAAAGTACCAGTTTTAAAGACAGTTCCTGGTGCGGAGGAGGCAATAGTTTCCTCTGGTGCTCCGTGAGGGTGGAGTGACTGAGGCTGTCTTCTATTATGCCAGTTCTGGGGCGTAGTCTAGGGCACAGGTTGTTAGGGCTAAGCTTAAAGCCCTAGCTCTCAGGTCCTCCTCCAAATACAATGAGCTGCCCAGTATTTGTTCAACATTTTGTAATGTATTATAGAAAAATCAAAAGCTAGACAAAAGTCATGTCCGACTCTTTGCAACCCCATGGACTGGAGCTCACCAGGCTCCTCTGTCCATGAAATTCTCCAGGCAAGAATACTGGAGTGGGTTGCCATTCCTTTCTCTAGGGGATCTTCCTGGCCCAGGGACTGAACCTGGGTCTCCTGCATTGCAGGCAGATTCTTTACCAGCTGAGCCACCAGGGAAGCCTGTCTAATGTCCTTTATATCATCTCACATCCAGTTTATTTGAATTTCCCTTATTGTCTCAAATATGTCATTTCATGGTCAGCTTTCTTGAGTCAGCATCCAAAAATGTTCACATTATTGAGTTTCGTTGTCATGTCTTTTAAGTCTCTTATTCTAACAGTCTTCCTCCCTCCATTTATTCCCCCCATGCAATTGGTTTCTTGGAAAAAGTGAATCAATTGCCCCAAAAAAGGCCTATATCCTAGATTCAGCTGATTTTCCCCTTGTGGTGCTGTTTGGCTAGTTCTTCTACCTCCAATATTTCCTTTAAACTGGTGGTTGGTCGGTCCAGCACCTGAGTCCTGGCCTCGCTCCTTCCTCTTGAACAAACATCATGAGCTTCAGCGCCCAATCCACCTTCTCCAACTACCGGTCCCTGGGCTCCGTGCAGTCGTCGGGCCACCGGGTCCAACCGGTCAGCAGCGCGGCCAGCGTCTGTGCAAGCGCCGGGGGCTCGGGCTCCCGGATCTCCGTGTCCCACTCCACCAGCGTCTGGGGCGGCTGGGGGTCCAGGAACCTGGGCGCCGGGATGGCCGGGGGTCTGGTGGGTGTAGGGGGCATCCAGGGAGAGAAGGAGACCATGCAAGACCTGAATGACCGCCTGGCCTCCTACCTGGAGAAGGTGAGGAGCCTGGAGGCTGATAACCGGAGACTGGAGAGCAAAATCCGGGAACATCTGGAGAAGAAGGGCCCCAGGTCAGAGACTGGGGGCATTACCTGAAGATCATCGAGGACCTGAGGGCTCAGATTTTTGCAAATTCTGGGGACAATGCCCGCATCGTTCTGCAGATTGACAGTGCCCGTCTTGCTGCTGATGACTTCAGAGTCAAGTATGAGACGGAGCTGGCCATGCGCCAGTCTGTGGAGAGTGACATACACGGGCTCCGCAAGGTCACTGATGACACCAGTGTCACCCGGCTGCAGCTGGAGACTGAGATCGAGGCTCTCAAGGCGGAGCTGCTCTTCATGAAGAAGAACCATGAGGAGGAAGTAAAGGGTCTACAAAACCAGATTGCCAACTCTGGGCTGACTGTGGAGTTGGATGCCCCCAAACCTCAGGGCCTCAGCAAGATCACGGCAGACATCCGGGCCCAGTATGACGAGCTGGCTCAGAAGAACCGAGAGGAGCTGGACAAGTACTGGTCCCAGCAGGTTGAGGAGAGCACCACAGTGGTCACCACGCAGACCGCTGAGATAGGAGCTGCTGAGATGACCCTCACAGAGCTGAGGCGCACCGTCCAGTCCCTGGGGATCGACCTGGATTCCATGAGAAACCTGAAGGCCAGCTTGGAGAACAGCCTGAGGGAAGTGGAGGCCCGCTACGCCATGCAGATGGAGCAGCTCAACGGAGTCCTCCTGCACCTGGAGTCAGAGCTGGCCCAGGCCCGGGCAGAGGGGCGACGCCAGACCCCGGAGTAGAGGCCCTGCTGAATGTCAAGGCCAAGCTGGAGGCTGGATCGATACCTACCGCCGCCTGCTGGAAGATGGGGAGGATTTCAGCCTTGGCGACGCTCTGGACAGCAGCAACTCCAGGCAAACCACCCATAAGACCACCACCCTCCGGCTCGTGGATGGCAAAGTGGTGTCTGAGACCTCAGACGCCAAAGTTCTGAGGCAGAGGCAGCAGAAGCAGAGTCCTCTGGGGAGCAGGGAGTCAATAAAAGTTGAGACATTATTGCATATCAAAACAAACAAAAAAATAATAAATAAATGGTGGTTGGATCTAGGGACTTGATAATATTCAGTTTCAATTTCATGATTTTGGAAGGACACTTCACAGAACATGCTGGTTACTTGTAGCACCTTTTTTTGTAAGATGCGCTTCGGCTGGTCCTCCTTTTAATGGTGCTAAGATTATTAGTGAGTTAAAACCAATATCCTTTATAGAACTTCCTCTCCTTCTTTATCAGCCAGGATCAACTTCTGAGGTCTACAATGGAACATTCTAACTGATTTATGTGGTAATCATTTTTCTGGGAAGTGGCATGAATAAATCCTGATCATTGAGATGTGATGGAAAGTTTGCAAGGAAATTTCTATGAGAGCTTTTCTTGCCCTGAGGATGGGCCTGAAGAAAGGACACTCCTCCTTCCAACATTCTGATATTACTGCATAAGGATATAATGCTCAAGGTTGCTACAGCCAGCTTGCAACCATGAAGGGACATAATGGAACAAAAGCTAAACTACAGAGGATGGCAGGGACCAGACAGAACTGTGGGCCCTTGATGATGTCATTATGCATCTAATGAAATTAAACCAGGAATTGTACTTCTTCCAAACTTCTTATGTGAGATAATAAATAGCCCTGTGATGGTACACATAGAAAATGATAATATTTGTATAATATGCTGGCATAGATGTTCTATGAGAGTTTATACTATATGGAAAATAAAATGCTTTGAGGAGAGAATATATTGAATATAGAATTTATGTAAAATTTACAAATAATAGCATTTCAAACATTTTGATGAAGAATTCAGACTTGCTTTTGTGAACATAATATTTATTTTGATCAGAGATTTATGCTTAAAATGGCTACATGAAATTACTGACCATAATCTGTAATAATGATATCTTCAAATACTTGAATGTGACTGTCGACTAGAAATTTTGTGAAAGTAGTTGAAGAAATGTTAAATCATTACAAAAGACTATTTAAAAATACAGTAGTTGAAATTGTATTTGATAAGTTCAACAGCTCATTTTATTTTTTTTTTTTTGTCATTGGCAATTTAGTGTTAAAACTTTTTGGATTAATGAGAAATGAATTTCTCAACTAACAAAAAAAATTCACATAAAATATTTCAAAACCACGTGGAGCCACAATTTATAGACACACCATTAAAGTAGAGATGCTACAGCTAGCTCAGATGCCATTAGGTGGTTACAGTAGCTACAAATGCACAGAAGCATCTCGTATCTACAAAGACAAATGTTTGGGCCACCACTTGGAGCTGTGCTACTGAGACCCTGCTGTACCCTGCTGCCCCTCTTCAAAGCTCAGACTCTTCGGGCTATTCTCTTTGGGTACCTAGAACATGAACATTCCAGCAGTTTCACTGGGGAAGTCTCCATTCAGTGGTCGGCACCTCCTTGGCTAAATTCAGAAAGCTATACTGATGCTGTGGAACCCATCCCCTCAGGCCAGCCTGCCAGGAGTCCCCGATGAGGCTTCTCACAGAAGAAGTCAGCCTGCAGAAGGATTCCAGCTATCTGCCTGAGGCTAAAAGTGTTGCTGTCTCACAGCACAGAATGCCATACCAGCCTCTGTTCCTCTCTTCACACCATCCCAATTTGGATCTTCTTGTACTGCGGCTGAGCACATCTGAGCTAAAGCCATACTACCTAAAAATACTTTAATTGCCTTTTACTTGTAAAAGAAAAATGCTGTATGCCATTTCTCATTCATAGAGTGGCTAACTTTTAGGCGATGACCAGAGTGAAGACTGCATCCTTGATGAAAACAAGTAATTCCAACAGAGCAGATGCTTCTGGTCACTGTGCGACCTTCCCCAGCCCCCTTCTGATAGAATCCTCAGCCGTGGTGCAGTTATGTAGAAGTGGAGCCTCATCATGCACTGCCAGCACCTTCTCCCAGGCAGGTACAGATCAGAAGTGTGAAGGATGACCAGAGGCAGAACTCATGTGATGGTGAGAAGGACCTATGGAAGCACTGCAGCCTCTGGTCTTTGGAGAGGATGATTTGGGGCACGTGTTCTCTACAGTTCTCCAGAGTCCTGGGCAACCAAGCTTGTCTCGCACACAGGAGTGACCTTGACCACGCACTTCATTTGTCTTTTCCTTTTGCCTATCTCTTGCCCTCCTTGTTCCCACACTCCTATTTCCCAGGGTCATCTCCCAAATTAATCACCTGGATGTAAGACCTCCCAGGCTCTGATTTTAGAAGAACCCGTACTAAACAATATCATATTTGAATGCTTAGTATGCAGGTTAGAATCTTGTCTAATGAACTGATTTTTATGAGCCTCCCCAGAATAAAATTTTTTTATTTGATGAGGATACTCATTTCTTAAAAATCAAAGACAGTGTTATCTGAAGCGATTACACTGAAGCTGGGTTCCTGCTGTGGCTCTGATGACAGTCCAAAATCCTGCGTGATGTCTCATTAACAATACAGGCAGCCCCTGACGCGGAGCTGACAGCATTTCTAAAAATAGTTTCTAAATTGACTGTTTGCAACTTGAAATGTATTTTCTAAGAGAAAATATTACCTTTTCCAATGGAGAGTGTTCCAAATGGCAAAGCACAGCTCCAAGGCGAAGATTTATTCACTCCTGCTTTGCTTTGCCAAAGAAGAGGCAAAACAGTACAGGAATGGGCTTCTAAAGCATTCCCTTGTGAGGTAGCTATGCTTCAAGGTACAGTTAACAGTGAGAGGAACAGAGAGGTTGCCAAAGTCAGAAGACTAGTACATAAAAGATAGTGATGACCTGAAGCTACAGTTGGGAAAGTGTGACTATAAATAGCTATGCTGGGTTAGATAGTGTCTCCCGAAATTCGTGTCCACATTATTGGACATGAAGCTCGCCACGTGAACTTGTCTAGAAGCAGGGTCTTTGCATATGCAATTCATTAAGATGAGGTCATATGGGTCCAGATCGACCCTAAATCCAGTGACTGGCCGTGTCAAGACACAGACACACACCCAGTGAAGAAGGTCATGTGATGACACAGGGAGAGATTGGAGTAAGGCAACCACAAGCCAAAGAAAGAGCTCCAAGGATTGCTGGGAGTCACCCCAAACTGAAAGAAACAAGGAGGGACTTTCCTGTAGAACCTTCTTTCCTGGAGGGTATAAGACCCAACAGAAACCTCGGTTTCAGACTTCTAGCCTCCTGACCTGCAAGCTAAAGCATTTTTATTGTTTTAAGCCACTTAGTGTGTGGTAATTTTTATGGCATCCCTCAGAAACTAATATATTAACTACCAAGTACTTGGAACTGGGTCTTGGATAAAAACATATTAATCATTTATTTTCGAGTATCAGCTTTTTCCCTTAGTCTCAAGGTGGGGGGCAAGTGGAGGCGGGGTTACAGGAGAAGAATGCAGTGGGCACTTCCTAGTTTCTAAAGTTAACCACGTAGCTGGAACAGAACAGAATCTCCCATTTTACTTTCAAATGTGTGTGTAATGTGGTGAGTTAAGATGTAAAGTAATGTAACTCCATGTCCAGAGTCAGGATTCAACTCCATCTTAAGGCTTCTAGTAACGGGAATGAGGGGTACTAGGTGCTTGTTGTCATTGTTCAGTCACATCTGACTCTTTGCGACCCCATGGACTGCAGCACACCAGGCTTCCCTGTCCCTCCATATCTCCTGGAGCTTGCTCAAACTCATGTCCATTGAGTCAGTGATGCCATCCAACCATCTCGTCCTCTGTCGTCCCCTTCTCCTGCCCTCAGTCTTTCCCAGTTGCAGAGTCTTTCCCAATGAGTTGGCTCCTCTCATCAGGTGGCCAAATTATTGGAGATTCAGCTTCAGCCTCAGTCCTTCCAATGAATATTCAGGATTGATTTCCTCTAGAATTGACCAGTTTGATCTCCTTGCAGTCCAAGGGACTCTCAAGAGTCTTCTCCAGCACCACAATTCAAAAGCATCAAGCCTTTGGCACTCAACCTTCTTTACGGCCCAGCTCTCACATCTGTACATAACTGCTCAGTGAGAACAACAGCATAATTCAATCATCTTCACAACAACATTATTATAAGGTTGGTCCTATTATTATCATCCCTCTTTGACAGATGAGGAAACTAAGCTGTGTGGCCGTAACCAGGCTTTGATGCAGAAGCTGACTTCAGAGCCGTGCTCTGGATTACTATGCTACATGCCTCATGAACACAGGGATGCCACATGAAATGATTCTTTCAAGTAAATAAAAATGTCTCAGCTACTCTCCTCACTCCTGACCCATCCTTACCCAGTGGCCTGGAACTTGTCTCAACTAAGTATGGGGAATGATTTGCTCTTGATTAAAATACTGGAACATTTGATGCACTAAAATCTGCTCTACTTGGAAAGTCAATGGCCAAATACTTCATTACCTAAGACAGCTCTAGTACACAGTTAACTCTTCCTTGAAACCTTTGTGTGTGTTCTGCCAAGAAACTGTCTCTCCTGAGGTGGTATGGGTTCCATGACAAGTCAAATAATTTTTACCTTTAAAGAACTGAGACTAGCACTTGTGAAGTAATTTTACTAAGGGATCCTCACTAGTTCTCCTAATGTTTAAATGATTTGTTTGCATTTTGCTATTTTATTATAGGCATTAAAAAAAGACCCTACACCAAATCTTTGTATAGCAAACAAGATTTGTTCATTTATCAATATGTATCCATCCACAAATAAATCATTGTTTTCCCTTGATCACTTTTTGTACTTTTTCAGAGTAGAAACACTC